AGGGAAAGTGTGATAAAGCCCCCAGACCTCTGAAAGGTCATGTCATGTCAAAGAGGAAATGGGTTTGTTCTATGCTGCTCCAGAAGGCAGAACTAGCCCCAAAGAGTGGGTATTATAGGAAACAACAGAACGCCTGCAGTGTGGAGGAGAACCTAGTCACCAATCTCTCATGCTGATGTTGTAGAAGAGGATCCAGTGTTGGAGGCGTGTTGACCTAGGTAACATTTAAGTTCACTTTCACTTTTAAGATTGGATTCTCTGAGTACTTTTCCCAACCACTGGGCTGGCAAGAATAACTGCAGTAAGTGCCTCCTTGGGCTTTTGGGTCCTGCTGCCTCCTCAGGTGGGGATTGATTGGTGAATAGAGACTGAAGGAGCTAATTGTGAACAGTCCTGCTGAGAGGGCCAAAGAGGTCCAGGTGTATCTCATCAGGAAAAACAAGAAAGGGAAAGGTGATGGTATAACAGGGCTGATCTTTTCAGGATTCCCAGAAAGATCCCGAAGTCTAGGCCTTCTGGAAACAGAAGTGGATTGGAGGAAAATAGGCAGCTCTTAGCCAAAGACAAGATGGAACAGATGTGACTGACTAACTCCATCCCTAACAGCAGCAAGATCAAATTAATGGCCTTACTGCAGACTGGAGTCTGATTTGGGAGGGTGAACTCTTTCTTTCCCTTTTAGCCACAAACTTTCTTTCCCTTTCAGCCCAATATCTTATCTGTACTGTAACCAAACCTCCCCTTACTCCCCACCCCATTCAGAATGATAAGGGTGACAAGTTATTATCTTACATGCAGGAAGAAACAATTCCAAATTACCTTTGCGTAGGAGAAGCAGAATGAAATTGGAAAGCACTTTTAGCTACTGAATAGAAAAGTCAGGCTGGAAGAGCTAGGTGTGCCCCCCCAACACATAAACAATCACACATAGTGTATTCCACCCTAAACTATCTTCTGATAGGGTACAAGAGCCCACCTGTCTGCTTTTACCTCTGCTTTTACCATTGGACTCATTGGTTAGTGGGTCACTTGTGGACTAGGAAGTGGATGCCAAGATGATTGGCCACTCTCTTCTTGGAAAAGAGCCAGGGCCCAGCAGATATCAGTGAAAGGTTTTCCAGCAATCAGATTTGTTCTCCTTGGCTGGAAGGTCAAGGATGTCAGAGCAGCCATGTAGACCTGTCCTAGTGATTCCTTGGAACTGGTGAGTCTCATTTCAGACTTGGGGAAATGGAGGCCAAAGAAAGTGCCTGTTAACCAGGTTAAGACGGAATAGTTCATTGGCATCCTCTGGTATCTTTCTGGTTCATGGTGATTCACAGGTGTTCTTTTGCCCTAGTGGCCTCTAGCCTAGGGAACTCTGTTGAGATAGGGCAATAAAGGAATTACTTTCTCTTTGTTCCAGAGGGGGAAATAAATTCCAATGAGCTGCTCAAGGGCCCACCCTATGAACTTCAATGTCAGAGCTAGGAGTTGACTTCAAGACTTGTTTTCTAATCCTGGGATTCTGGGTGGCTAAGAGTCAAGGAGACTTGACCTGGCCTAGGCAGCTGCTTTGGAGGCAGGGTGGCAGTGTTCTCATTTCAGGAGACAAATGGCAGGGTCAGGACAGAAGAACTCATTTTGTGGCAGAGGCTACTACTAGAGAGAGGTACTACCTCTTTTTCCCCACCACCCACCAGACCTAGAGGTGGCACGTCTTTCCCCTTTGAGGAAAAGGTAGACTAGAATGGGGCTCTTGATCACATGCCCCTTAATTACTGCACTTCAAGTATTTCCCTGATCCAAACCAATATCGCTGATATTGCGATATCCTCAGGACAATATCATGCCTATTCAGCAGATGGGAAAACTGGAGGTTCCAGATGGGCAGTGGCTTTGTGGCCATGCCAGAGGCTCTATGGGGAAAGTCCAGAGCAGTTCTCCTCAGATGTGGGAGGAAGTTTCTGCTTTAGCCATTAGGAGCTCTGATCTCCTAGAAATCATCTCACGTCTAGTTGCCAATAACTGAGCATTTTTGTTAGTCAGTTTTACCAGGGAAAAGAGATTTTGAATATTCTCCTTGACTCTTACAACCCCCCCTTGATGTCAAATGCCTTAGGAGGCAGCCTGACGCAGTGGAAGGAGTGCTCACTGGCTCTGACATCAGAGGCTGGGGTTCAAGCCCAGCATGGATGCTGTCCCCCAGCCTCCCCAGCTGTAAAATGAGGACCTCCAAGGATCCTTCCATCTCCAGGGCTAGGACTCCATGCATTTATGCAGCTAGGGTGGCTTTGACAGTTCTATAGGTTGAAAGGACTCTTTTCCCTACCTGAGGTCATCTGGAAATAGGAATAAACTAGGGGTGTGACAGGTATTCCCAGAATCCAAAGGAAGAGGACCACTAGTTGGCTGTGGAACTGTCTTAACTCTTTTTCAGAAACCCCGCTTGCCATGGGGAGATGGGGTGACGGGGACCTCTTGGTCCAGTGTAGAAAGCGAGGACAGCAGAACCTCATCAGACGTTTGTTTGCCAGTGAGGGCTCAGAGGTGGTGGAGTGTAGACTAGCCAGGCCTCCCAGGGCAAGCAGCGGCTACCAAAGCTGCCAGGGACCTAGAAGGGCAAGGCTAGATACAAATGTGGGCACTTTACCAGCATTTGAATGGAGCTCCAGTCAATAAGGGATTGGCCTCAGGGACCTTCAAAGAATTGGTTCCTGGTCTAGTTCTGATAATGAATTCACCCATAGTCCCCACCATGCACCCATGTTATAATGGACTCTAATTGGTTATGGGCCATGGGGTCTAATTAAGTTAGTGGCAAACCCAAATGACCTTTGGGAGCTGTATGATGTCCCTGATTTGCTCTACTGTGGATTAATTCTTGTTTTTCCTTCTTTTGTTTTTTTCCTCTTCCCAAGGAAGCAAAAAAAAGCCTTATTTATTATCATTTTCCCCACTGTTGGCATGGCAACACAGGCGTACGTTACTGAGCTTCAGGCAGCCCCGCAACCACCACAGCCTCAACAAGCCCCTCCGCAGGCTCAGCCCCAGCCACCACCGCCACCAGCGGCCCCTCAGCCACCACCACCGCCACCACCGCCACCTGCTGCCGCCACCTCCCAGCCACAGTATGTTAGTGAACTTCAGAGCCCACAGCCCCAACCTGCCAGCCAGAAACAGTATGTGACTGAGATCCCAGCCCCCCCAGCACAGTCACAGCCCAGTGGCCAGCCTGCCCCGACCCCGGCCCCCCAGCAGTTTATCGTGGTGACGGTCTCGGGTAAGTACAAGAAAGAAAGACCTGGTTTTCTAGGCCTTACATGAAATGGTTGCCCTTGGAGCATCTGTGAGCATCCCACCTATGAAAACCCTTTGAGATTAAGCTCTAGTGTCTAGCATAACACAAGTTTCAAGGTTTCATGGGTTTAAGGTACTTGGTTCTAATGCCCCATAGTCTGTGATTTAGTAGAAGGACTAGGGGCAGCTAGGTGGCACAGTGGATAGAGTGCTGGGCTTGGAATCTAGAAGACCTAGGTTCAAATCCTGTCTCAGAGACGTACTGGCTGTGTGACCCTCGGCAAGTCACTTAACCTCTCTGTGCCTCAGTTCTGTCACTTGTAAAATGAGGTTAATAATATCACCTGCTTCCCAAAGTTGTTATGATGATCAGATGAGTTAATATGTGAAGTGCTTTGTAAACCTTTAAGTGCCATATAAATGCTAGCTGCTTTTATTATTAGTTTTATTCTTTCTAATAATTATTTTTGTTTAGTTGTTATTAAGTAATCATAATAATAGTACCAGCAGCAATAGACCTACTCTGATACATCTTTAGAGTAGGGAGATGATCTTAGTTTTTCTTTCTTTCTTTTTTTCTTTTAAATTTTTAGGCAGTTGGGGTTAAGTGACTTGCCCAGGGTCACACAGCTAGTGTGTGGTCTGAGGCCGTATTTGAACTCAGGTCCTCCTGACTTCAGGGTCGGTGCTCTCTCCACTGCCCACCTAGGTTCCCTGATGATCTTGGTTTTTCAAAGGCTATGCCACCAGGCTCTGCCTACATACAACTTATGGAATAGTATCAAGTATGAGTCTGGTGACACATTCCATGGCTTTCATTGAAGGTTGGAGGATCTCTCCTGGGGATTGGCTGTCAGGTGATGATTCTTTTCAGCCACAGCAACTCACAAAGCCTGCCTAAAGGAGAGAAGATTTAGGATGGACATTATTATTGTCCTCAATTGTTTGAAGAGTTCTTATTTGGAAGAGGGATTACATATGTACTGCCGACCTCCAAAAAAATAGAACTGAGACCAGTGGGTGGAAGCTACAAGGAGGCCGATTTTGATTCATTAATGGGGGACAATTTCCTAATGATTAGAGCTGTACAGTGGAATGGATTGTGTCTTCACTTGAGGTCTTATAAGTGAAGGTTAGATAACCCCTTGTCAGGGTTATTTTAGAAAGAATTTTTGCTTTGGGTAAGGGTTAAACTAGATAATTCCTGGTGATCCTCTCCGCTCTAGGTGTCTAAGATAAAATGCATGCAGGGGGAGTGGAGCTTTTCATCAGTCAAGCAACTGGCCACAATGATGAAATTGTGGATCCTTGAAGTATAATTACAAATAATAGTATTCATTTTCCTTTTACTACCACTAAAAGGGATTGCTAATAGCATCAATACTTGGATATAAAGAATTCACCTGCCTTTATGTGGGGAGCAGCTTTCATTTTCTAGGAGGTTCGGGAGCACAGCTATGAGCCAATCAATGAGTCTGTAGCCCTAAAAGTCTCTGGCCCTGTCCCTGCTTCCACTCCCAGGCACCATAAGATTCCCAGAAGACATCTGAATTACATGACTTTAACAGACTCCCAGAATTATTCTCTCCTCTACTCTCTCCCCCCAGTCCCACGAAGTAGCATTATCACCCAAGGCACTTCAGTGCCTGTGAATCATTTGCAAGTCTGTTTGGTCACCAGAGGAACTGATTTAGAGATAGGAAACAAAGGGTCAGAATACAGAAGTTTTAAAGAGTATATTTCTGTAGGGATCGGTGTTCTCACTAGGTATCTTGTACATTTGGGTAACGGATATGAAGGATACATAGGGAAGTCTCCATGTTTGAAGTTTTAGTTAGTGAAGGGCCATACGGATGAAGATGAAGATCAGGAGAATCTTGCAAGACTGGGGCAGTGAGTCCCAGCCTGGGAGAAGTTATTACTTATGATGCAGACTTAGAGGATGAGGTCTGCTTGATGGGATTTCATTCCTTTTGCCATCTTTGTCAGCTTTGATTGGGTACACCCCAAATTCAGGTGTTACTGAGTAAGGTAAGCTTGCAGTCCAGTAACAGTCCCCTGAAGGTGTTACTGAGCTCACCCCACCATAGGCTGCTGTTATATTGCTCAGTTGAGGCCTCTGTAGAAATTGTCTTTGCCTCTTTTCCAGCCAACATGACTAGGATGAAGGTCTAAATGGCATACTTATTGTGTGTGTCCTAGTAATTGTCAAATGAGAGGAGTAGTCAACATAGTAGATGGTTTGAACTGAGATTGCAGGTAGACTGAACAGATCTTAGTGATTCAAAGCTCCTTGGGAATCTGCATTGTTGTAGCCAAAAGATACACACACAACTCAGGTTGCGTTAGCAGGCAGAGCAGCTTCCAAGACGAGAAGTCAGATGATGCCACTGTGCTTTTCCCTGGTTAGACCACATCTACAGCCAGGGATGAATGGAACGAGACTAGGTCTGGAAGACAGTTACTGGAATGGTGAGAGCTCGCAACCATGCTGGCCTAGGGTGGGTTAGAGGAACCGAAAATGTTCAGCTGAGAGAAGAGAGTATTTAATGGAGTCCTGGGATTGCCATCTTCGGGTGTTTACAGACTGAATGAAGGCTCAGACTTATAGCAAGGACCAATGGGGGGTGGGGTGGGAGGTGAAAGTTACAGAGGGACATTTCAGCTCAGTCTCAGGGAAAACTTCTTAACAATTAGAGCCATCTAGAGATGGAATAGATGCTTCAGTGTGTAATGAGGAAAGATGGAGCCGTTTACTGGATACTGTAGAGGAGGCCTCGACTGGGTTAAGTGACGCACCAGCCTTTAGGATCTCTTTCAACCTTATCACTTAATGAGACTGGTGGGGCAAATATGTTCATCCAAAACTATTTTGTCAGTCTCATGGGCCTTCACTGGGACAAAATATCTACTTGCCAACCTTCTGAAGGAATGAATGCGGCTTTGAGGTATTTTGGTCCTAACTATTCAAGTTGTTCATCTAGGGCAAAACATTTCCACAGGGGCACCCTCAGGTACCTTACCACAGGAGACTGGCTCAGGCTCAGGGACTGCCAGATCTTGTGGGCTAAGAACTGTCCAGGTCTATTCCATGGCCAGAAGCAATTGGAAATTATCCAGGGATCAGAGCAGGGAAGGGAGGGGCCCCCCGGCATTGGTTCTCTAGAGTAAGACCCGGAACACACAAACTGGAGGCAAGTTGAGGAAAAAATGAAAAGCCGACTAGACTAACAACAGAATCCTGTCCCCAGCCAATCTGCTCTGGAGGTGACTTTAAAGATGATACTGGCAAAGATCAAATTACTCACAGTTGGGAACAGTACTCTGAATTCATCAATCTCTGTTCTCAGAGGCAGCCAAACTTTTCAAAGAAATCTGAGCAGGAGGGAGGAAGGGTACTGTAGATGACAGTGGGCTCTGTGCCCAGAGAGGCTGGATGTCCAGCTGAGGATAGGATGTGCATTCTGGGTCCCCTAGTTCCTCAGGAGGAAAGAAAGTAGCCCTTTGGTACCAACTTGTCAGTGTTAAGACTGTATTGAATGATGCTTTCTTTCACTTTTACGAACTTTGGTACCAAGAGCTGCAGAGAAATAAGGCAGTGGGCCAAGATGACATGTCATACAATTTACATCTAATCTTTATTTCTTTTGTATTGGGCTGTCTTGGAAATCTATTTCTGTATGGGGAGAAAGTTTGAATGTCCTTGCTAGGATCAGAAGAGGTTGTATGGGATAGTCATGGTATCTGGAAAATTCTGATTGGTAGGAAGTTTTTCTTTATATTTAACTGAAATCTATCTCTCTGTAAAGTACAACACCCCCCTATTCCATCCCCACCCCAGTCTCCAGCTCACTGGAGGATGTCCCTTATCTGTTTTCCATGTTATTTCTAACAGTAGAAGGGCAGGTGGATCTATGGGTATTCTGCATCCTATAGGTGTCTTATGTACCTATTTCCCTAGACACCTGGCCTTTTTTACCCTCCGTCTCTGTATGAGCAGCATCAAAAATTAGCCCTCACTACAGATAGGAAACAGGCTTAAAAAGCAATGGCCTAAGGCTCAGATTGTATTGGATATAAGGGGCAGAGCTGGGCCGAAAGCCTCAGACCTTTATGATTCCTGGCTCGCCTGGCTTCTGTGAAAGCTACAGACACACTTAGGTTGGGAGCCAGGAGACTGCCCAGGTCCTATGAGCAATGGGAATTTTAATTAGGAGCCAAGAACAGCTCCATTTCCAGGAACCTTTTTCTCCCCCCAAACCAACTCCCCAATGGGAGTATCAGATCTCTAGGTTGGTAGCATCACAGAGTCTGCATTGAACTATATGGCCCAGAGTCAAGCCCTGATTTCTGGACTAGCTGTCCCCTGTCTATAAAGGATCCCTTTGCCTAAGAAAGTCAAAGACTTTAACTGGAAATCTAATTCACCCTCACATCCTTCTCTCACTGAAAGAGTCACTTCTCATATTCAGATAAGGCACCTGAGGTCAAGCCGGCTTGGGACCACACAGCACATCCATAGGAAAGCTGAAGAACACTGATGAGTGAAAAGGAATTCAATGTAATCCACCATTGTGACACCAAGCATTCTGGTTATTAACTTCAAGACTTGAGGCCTCTTGGGAGAGGTCCTTTCACACAAATCATCCATACATACACAGAAAGCTACAGACAGACCTACTCAGAGAGATGCGTGTGTGTAGAGGAGGACATAGCCACAGACCACAGAATTACAGAATTTCAGGATTGGAATGGAAGAGAAATTCCCTCTATGCTATGCCTGACAAAGGATCATGTAGCCTCCACTTCTTGAAGTCTTACAGTTATGAGCAACTCACTACTTTCTAAGGCAAAATATTCTACTTTTGAACAGCTGTAACCACTAGTCAGTTTTTCTTTTCATCTGGCTAGACTCTGCCTCTGCAGATGCAGAACAAGAGGTGGCTCCTTGTTCTGACCCCTGAGGCCACGCAGGATAAGTCCGATTCCTCTTCCATGGACAGCTGGAAGCTGGAAGCAGGGAAGGTGGAGCACAGATGTGCCTATAGAGAGGGGTGTACATGAGGAGAGCATGGTAGGTCAGGAGGCTGAGGAGAAATACCTGCCTACCCCCTACCCACTTTCACGATTCAAACAAAGACATTCAGACTATCCATATACACTCACATAGTTGCAGACACACCCATCAGAACACAGGAGGATGTAGTCACATAGCCGTGGCCACAGATGTGTGCACGCATGCACACATATACACACATACACACACACACACACACACAAACACACGAGAGCATCCCTGCAAGCATAGATCCACAGATGCCTTTGGGGCATATACACATATGTGTGAAGCAAAAAGCCTGAAATTATTAGGAAGCTCACTTACCGGTTGCTGACTTCTCTTAGGGTTCTTAGTACTTCTAGAAAACCAACCAAACCAATTAGAGCCTCAGCCCAGGCCTAAGGACTCTTGACCGTTAGCCTGGTGGCGGTGAACATTCCTCTTCCTGTGCTTTGCCTCAAGTAGAAACAATGAGGACTTGTGGGAAAAAATGACAGCTGCTGTTAACTTTGGGTCTTGCCCAGCAGTCCCTCTTGGACCTCTTCAGGCAGCCAAAGATGCCACTAGCCCGGCACTGAGCTGTGAGATAGGAGGCACAACACTGAACCAAGCCAGAGCCCCACCCCTCCATTGCCGGCTTAGTTGATGGCCCATCCCTTTGACTGGGGACACAGCGTCCCGGCTCAGGTCACCCACACACCTGGGTGTGTGGGGAGCCTCACGTGGCATACTGCTTTCTCAGGTTGCTCCCAGCCTTACCAGTTGGGCTGGAGTCATTAAATGCCTCTTCCCTTGAGGCCCCACAAGGATGCCAAGGAGAGGCCCAAATAAAACCCAAAAGAAAGCAATTAAGCTAAATCCAGAAACTGATGCTTTTGTAGGCTATCCTGAGGACTCTGGATGCCAGAACTATTTCAATAAGTATTGCCTGTCATCATCATCCTCTGAGGACCATCCCTTCCCCCAGCACTGAGCCGAAGTGGGGTTTGACTGCTCTCTTTCTCATCAGATCAGCATGCAAACTCTCTTGATAACGAGATTGTACCTAATTGGCCTGGACCCAGCTTGCAGCAGCTTCCCATGGCATCATCTCCAAAGAGCTCCATCATGCCTGAAGCCAGAAGGGCAAGTCTGAAGGTCCTGGGCTTTTAAACAGCTTCTTCAGAGGCTTCAACTGTGGGCGATACCATCGGCCCTGTACTGGGCACTTTCATCCCATCTCCCTCTGGAAGATGATCAGGAAGTGATCTACTTAGCCTCACCATCCCTTCAGCAGGTTTATTTGCCCCTTTTACTCCTACTGGCTGTTCCTACACAAGGAAAATGGAATGCTTTAATCCTCAGTTTACCTCAAGGCAAAATGACAACCCCCTACCCCCACCCCAGTTCTTGCCCTCTAAGCCTTCAGCCTAGCAAAAAGGCACCTTCACTCGGGATATTAGCAGATTTCCCTGAAGCACTGGGGGCAAAAAATGCCACCAGCATCTGGGGACATATCTTTCAAGGGGTTAGGATCCCAAAAAACTCATGCAGAGAGCTGGAGGCAGAAGCGGGGAGGTGCTGAGGATTTATTTTCTTTGGGGGAAAAAAAATAGCCCCTCCTCCTGCTCATCACCTCAGAGAGATGTGCATGAAACTTGACCTCCTTCCCGATAGCATCTCCCCAGCCCAGGTACTGACCTCTCAGTGTGCTGCAAAGGCCCCTCCTTGTTTTGTACCTACTATGAGGGGGATGTTTATTCAGAGAGAGCCCAAGGAGCTTTGAGCAAACTCGAGGGGATTAGTTCACCAAGGCTGCTGGTATAAAAGCTGTCCTTGTTCCCACCTGCTCCTGCAGAGAGGCGTGACCAGGAGCTGGCCAGGCAGGCCACCCCTGGGCTGCATCATGTTCTATGATTGCCTCTTCACAGCTCCCTGCCAGCGTGAGTAACACCCCCCCCCCAACTCTGCCTGCTGAAGGACCATAAAAAGTAGGAAGGAACTGGGTGTGAATGAATGGAAAGGAGGGGAGGGAGGCAGCCTAAACTAAGGGGTCGGGGGGGGGCAATATCCCAGACTTCTGCGGCCTCCTAAGACTAAGTTTCTATATTTTCACCTGCAAAATAGATAAGTTGGTCGAGTACTCTGGTGGGCACGTTGTGAAAATCATTAGCAAATTGTGCTAATGTGCTTTAGAAGTGTGACCAAAGGCCCAGACTTGAAGGCAGGATCTCCCAAATCTCCACCCTGGTCAGGGAAATATTCCACATCTGAGCTCTTGTTTTCCTCCTTCGACAAGGATGGTCTCCCTCTTCCTGCCTTTCTGTGGTGTCTGTGGAGCAGAAGACATAAAAACTCCTATCAGCCTAGCCAGGGGTAAATAGAATGAGAACTGCAGGGAGCATTGAGGAGGACGTCAAGAAGACTGGAGAATGTGTACCATAGGAGAATCAGTGGAAGGGGCTAGAAGTACTTATTTAACCTAGAAAAGGGAAGACTGAGTAGAGGCATAATAGCTTGTATTCCAACATTTGAAGAGTGGTTGTATGGAAGGAGTGAACTTGTTCTGCTTGGCCCTGAGCGGCATAATTAGGAAGGGAAGTCCTAGAGGGAAGTGGCAGGGGCTTATTTTAACTACAGAAAAGGAAAAACTTAGCATGTCCAAAAAACTTACTGACAATTGTCTAAAAGTGAAGTTGGCTTCCTCAGGAGGCAGTGAGTTCCTGTCCCTGGAGGTCTTTCAGATGGAGGCTGGGTGATTCTTTGTCGTTGCTTGTAAAGAAGATTCTTGCTCAGAGGTTAGACTAAATGACCTCTAAAGCTCATCCCTTCCACCTGTGGGATTCTGAGCTTCTGTTGTTCTTCCTGAGAAAGCCGTCCTGGGTGAAAGGAAAGGTCAGAGGGGGCTGGAGTCAGGGAGAAGGGAAGGGCATTGGAGTTTGAGCCTTGGGCTCCTGTTTTCCTGCAGAGTCATATCCAAGAATTTGTCTCATGAGGCCTTCATTGCTCTAGTTCTTTCTAGCCTTCCCTCTCTCTTTGCCCATGTCTCACTAGACTTTAGAATACCTCTTCCATGCCAGTCACAGGGCCATGCTTGGGGCTTTCCCCTGGGAATGAAGCCAGGTGGAAGAGTGGACGGTTAGAGTGGACAGGCACTAAGCCTTAGAGCTCCTAGCCAGCCCATTCCTACAGGATCCGTGGACATGCAGCTGACATGGGAGGTGACCCCAGCTGCATTCAGAATGATAATCTGTAGTAGGAAGTGTAGACCCTGCTGGAGTTCTGTTGCTTCCTACATCCACCCCCTCTGTCCTCTTCCTACCACTCTAGAGACTTTCTCAGACCCTAGAACTAAACCCAGATCCCAAACTTCTCGCTCCCACTACCCTAGGGACAGTGCTGCACAGTGTGCCTGATGTGCTCCCTTCTTCCCTACAGAAGGGACCATGAGGGCCAGTGACACCGTCTCAGAAGCCAGCCCAGTCTCCACAGCCAGCCAATCTGGAGTGCCAACACAGGTGGTCCAACAGGTCCAAGCCACACCGCAGGTATGGGGCTCCCAAGGTAAGGGGATTGAATAGCTGACTCTCAGCACGACGGGTTCTTAGGGCCAAAAGGGGCTGTCTCCAACCACTGGAGCTCAAGTTTTCCCCACCTTGGAGATGAGTAGACTGCTTCTCATTGCTCCCTCCTCCACCACTGCCCTTTAGTTCTACCCCTCACCATCTGCCAGAGCCATCTGTTTGCCTTCTCTTATCAAGATGCTTTGCTCCATTCTGCTCAGCTCCCTTTCCCATCCTCCCCTTCCCTCACCCCACAGTTTGGGGGTCAGGGCCAGCCCCCCTTCACCTCACTGGGCTTTGTTCCAACAGCGGTTGCTGGTCCAAGCAAGTGTGCAAGCCAAGCCTGGTGCCGTGTCCCCTCTGCAGCTTACCAGCATCCAAGTGCCCCAGCAGGTAAGGCTGATGTGCCCAAGGAAGGTGACACCATCTTCTCTGGGGCCTCATGGGTCCCACCATCCCTAGCCACGAAAACCAAAGATTCCTAAAGGGGGATGGAGACACCTCCTTTACTAACTTACCTCCCTGTTGCTTGCCCACAACGTGAAAAACAGAAACCTTTTCTGGCCTGCCCAGTTCCAGTCCATTTCTAATCAGGGAAATTAGAGCTGCCAAACCCTTGGCTATCCTTTTGGTCAGGGATCTCCACTGAGAAGAGCTATGCTAGTTCAGTCTGTTTTTTACCTCTCAGGAGGCAGCCAGTGTCAGGGAAAGAACACTGTCCCTGGGAGTTGACATCCCTATATTCTCTGTTCCCAAGTTACTATGCCGCCTTGAGAAAGTTAACTAAAACCTCATAGGATCGTGACGTCCAGCACTAGAAAGGACCTTAGAGATCACCAGGCTCTGTGTGCTCAGAGGTACAGCATGGGCTAGTGGACTCGGAGTCAAAAGACCAGGCCTCTAATCTCCCTTCACTATTTACCTCCTGTGTGTCCTAAGTCAAGCCCCTTCCCTTCTCTGGTCTTGGTTTCTTTATCTGCAGATGAGACGATTGGACTAGGACTAGATGATCCCTAAGGCTCTATGAGCTCTAAAAAGCCCTCCAGCCTCGGAAGGTTAAGGGAAATTGAGCCTTCTTCCCATTATACTTCAGCCCCTATCAAATAGTAGGCTTCTGAGATTAACGATTCTTATGAACCTTGGATCGAGAGGCCAGGGGCTCCTCTTTCATACTCTGCAGAAAAGAGATTAGCCCTTGTACCCATGGACCTAAACAGCCTGAATTAAAGCAAGTGCAGCAGGAGTGAGGGAGAGGAAGGGGACCTTCCCCTAGCCTCAGGAACTGTGGAAAGAAAGCAGATTCCTGTTCTTGCCCCATTTCCTCCCTTACACCTCCATTACAAAGAAACCTTTTGGGTTTACGCAGAACCCTATTCCAGTAGCCTTGGGTCGGAGAACATGGACTGTGGAGGCAAAATCCACACCTCCCACCCAACAGGGTGAGCTAATGCAAGTGAATCCCACTGCCAAGAAGGTCTTCTGGACACCTGGCAAACATACTGGAAATAGACTCCAAAAACTGTAGGGGAGAAGCATTGAACTTGGTTCTGGTCCTTTCCCCTTACTGACCTTAAGTTTCTCATCTGCACAATTATGGGGTTGGATTAGATAGTGTCAAGAGATCCTTCTAACTCTAACATGCTTTGACTCTTAAAGGCCAGCCCCCTGATCTGGGATTGGGTCATGTTCTCTGCACCAGCTTCTTCCTAATCACAAGCATTCTTCACACAGCGATTGGTGGTGCAGAGCACAACCCAGGCCAGCAAAGGGGGGCCGGCTTCATTAGCTGTTCATAGTGTCCAACAGGTGCACTCTCCCCCAGAGGTAAGTGACAGCCCCCAGCCCTGTGGGCCTTCCCTCCTTCCCACCCATTTCTGTCATCTTTTTCTCTCCTTAAGCTGTTTCTCTGCGTGTCTCCTCCCTTACCTTGCCTCTAGCTCTCAGATCCTGGCTTCTGTAGGTGACATTTAATGAGGTCAGGATGGCCTCTAGCCAAGGTTGGCAGCAAAGGATTTTTGTCAGGAAACAGAGAATGTCCTAGCCCAGACTGAGCTTCAGCAGAGCCTGGGCTTTTAAGCTCAGGGAATGGAAAGCACAGCAGCTTATGAGGCTGGATATTGCTGTGTGACGCCTCATCCCCAACCCACTCTCCCAAGCCTGCCATGGACAGCTTCACCTCATAGATAAATAAAAGCAGGTTTTCATGTCTCACTCACTCCAAGATCTTTACAGGGATTTTCCAGTCTTGGAGTTGGGGGCAGGTGAGACATGGGGGTTTATAAGCTAAGCCACTGAGAGCAAGGGCCAACTCCACAAGAGGCCAAGAGGTGTCTTAGGAGCATCACTCTACAGCCTAGGGATGCCTGTCACTCAGCCTGACCCCTCCCTGCCTCTCAGATCCCTCCCAGACCAGTACCCATAAAAGAACCAAGCAGTATTCATGGATTCCCTGGAGTATAAGCCCTGCAAAGCCAGGGAGAAGACAAGGTCTTTACCTCCTTTGGCTGTCTTATTATCCCTCCAGTAATATCCCTCCAATCCATTCCAGCATTTCAGTACCAAACCAGGGGGTGGTGGGTGGCATGAGGCAAAGTATGTCCCAGGGGCTAGCCTGAAAAATGCCAAGTTGGACTTTAGAGAGTGTCTAAGAGAGATTTGAGATCAGTCCTCAGCAGGGACAAGTTTTTAAGGGGGAGACCCAGCCAGCACTGGGTACTGAGCAAAAAAGCTCAGGACCTCTGGATTCATTTGCAAACGTTGTTGCAAAAGGAGTTCTCTTCCCACTGTGATCTGTCTAATTTCACCCTAAGCCCTTTAGCAGATACAGGGAATTGCTGAGAGTGGGTCCCAGAAAAAAGCCTACCGTGATGCCTGTGCTCAGCCCACCCTGATGTGTGCTTCAGCCTGTCCTTGCCTCTCTCTCTGTGTCTCCCCCCTTCTCTCTCCCTCCCTCCGTGTGTGTCTCTCTGTCTCTCTCCCTTCCTCCCTCCCGTGTGTCTCTCTGTCCCCTCTCCCTCCCCCCATGTGTATCTCTCTCTCTGCTTCCCTCCCTCCATGTGTGTCTGTGTGTCTCTGTCTGTCTCTGTCTCTCTTTCTCTGTCTCTCTCTCATTCTCTCAACAGCGTTCACCAGGACAGGGGAACAGCTCCACCAGCAAAGCTGGCTCCGTGCAGCAGCTCCAGGTGCACAGTGTCCAGACCGTCCCTGTCACACAAGAGGTATCCGACAGGGGAGGTGCCCAGGCAGAGCTGTTTCCAAGGGTCCTGGAACAGTCTGGAATGTGTAACCACTTTAGCATCCAGCCAGCACAGACCCTGTACAATATTTGAAATGGGAGGCCCACAATGGGGTTTGGAGTTGAGACCAGATTCCAGATCCTCCCTCTGCTGACTCCCAGTGGGACATTGGGCAAGTTTCAACCTCTTTGGGCCTCAGGTCCTCATTTAGAGGTGATTTCTTAGGCCTTGCTGGTTCTCAGTCATGTTCAGTGATTTACCCAAGGCCACACAGCAAGTTAGGACCAAAGAACCCAAGAAAACTGAGGTCCATTAGAATGACCTGCCCCAAGAATAAGGTTGGAGATTACCATTCTGCCCTCCGTTCCATTGTTTCTCATTGCCCCAGAACGGCTGACACTACTCATTTTATCACAAGATGCTGAGTCCTGTCCTGGGAATCTCTTAAGTGAATGAGCGAGCAGTGGGATGGGAGGCAGAGTTTTTCTGTCTGATTCAGTTGAGGAAGTGGATAGTTCATCTTTATGGCTTGGCTGGGAATACATGAGTATTGGCCTGTTCTGTCAGGGAGGAACTGATTACTACCTATCTGCATTTCCCTGTTGGCAAAGAACCATGAGAGGAGGCAATAGGGGAGTCCATTCCACAGGCTCTGGATTGTGCCGCCCCCTGTAGGAACAAGAGGGGCCGCAGACTCTGGGACTCCTTCACGTGCTTGAGTGCTAGGCCCTTAGCTGCTCTCAGCCTAATGAGTGACAGGACAGTGAGGAGGAATGCGGGTGCTCCTTCCAGTGATTTGGGATATTGTGTGTCCCCGCAGAGATCTGTCGTGCAGACCACTCCACAAGCACCAAAATCGGGCCCAGTGCAGCAGCTGACAGTACAAGGGTTGCAGCAGGTCCACGTCACTCAAGAGGTCTGTGCTCTCTGGGCCGCTGGCTTTTCCCCTTCCCCTCCCCCCACTCCCCTGAAGGTTTTTCCTGCCCAAGTTGTGACTGGATGGGCAGTTTTCTGGGCACTGAGAGGCCCTAAGAGCCAATGGGCTCTACAGCGAAGGGGCTGAGCAGATGATCACTAAGGGCCCTCCAGTGCTAAATACTCACCTTTCAGAAGGGAGGCCCGTTAGAATATCTTGCCCCAAGGACAAGGTCAGGGATAAAACTGACTTGCCCACTTCCCTGCCTAAGACACTAAAAGAGAAGCTGCTATACATTTTCTTTGACTGTGGGACCTTTGTAGGACATAGACCAGGGCGTGGAGGGGCACCTTTTAAACTTCCAGACAGACGGACACACCCAGCCCCAGACCTGGCCCCGCCCACACCCCCCGCTCCCGCTACGTGCGAACCTGTGGGGCCTCCCTCCTTCGTCCCAGGCCGGCTTCCTTGTCTCCCAAGTGGCCCGGGGCAGCGTCTGGGGCCCCTAAGGCCCCGTGGGAGGGTCCCGCGCTTGGTGCATTTGCCAGGCACCCTGCCCGCACCCCTCCTCCCAGCCCCCTGGCCAGGGCTGCGGGTGATGGGCCAGTGTCTCTGTTTGTCCTCCAGTGCTCAGGCAGTCAGTTCCCCGCTAGGAAGGGAGAGCAGCAGGAGCGAGCAGCAGAGCCGCCTGTGGTGCGGGCCGAGCCGGGCGAGCGG